CCTACAGCATTACCATCCTCCTCAGTAGCTAAAGGATCCTGCAAACAGAAATCATCCGAAGCAATTGTAACAATTGAACCAAGTTAAAGCAAGGTCAGGTCTGTCCAGCAGTGTCCACTTCAGCTGGTGAAACTGAGGGAGGGACAACAGGAGGTAGTTGTGGGAATTCACGTCCAAATAGGATTAGCCCTCAGGATTTTCTCTGTTATTGTGATGCAGACTATGAAGCCACTCCTCTCCCTAGAGTTTGATTTAATGTAGGCAGTGATTGTGCACAGGTGGCAGGGCAAGGGGCTCCATAGGTGTCTGAAAAAGAGCAGTGTGAAGTGCCCCTGGAAAGAGAGAGGTTGCTGTGCTGCACTTGAAAAAATTAATTTTTTTTTTTCCTCGAGCATTGTGATTGTTTAGGGAATCTCTTGTGTGCACTGATGAGCTCCTGTACCTGGAGCATGCTGCGAGCAAGGGGCTGATGTCCAGGGTTGGTGAGCCACAGCAGCGTGGGAGGACTGAGCTTGGCTGAGGGGTGTTCAAAGGTGATGAGTGTTCTATCAGGAAGGCAGTTTAAGTCTGCACAACAGAGAAGGTGACAGGCAATAAGCTCCCAGTTTGGAACTCTCATCATCTGGCTAAAATGACTGAGGAATCACCTCCACAGTGGAAACTGGGAGAAGAAAGTGAGACAGGACACCACTTTCTTGGCAAGGGGGGTCCTGTCAAGAAGGTGGATTGCTCGCTATAGGGGAGAGGGAGCGGCTGGGGCGGGGAAGAACTGCTCCAGCTGCTGGGAAATAAGAATCTTGAGAGTGGTTGTGCGTAGTGGCCCTGCCCTTGAAGGACTGGGCAGAATGCAGACTTTGAAGCTGGTCAGTAGCCAGCAGGGAGTCTGCACCCTGCAAAGATGGTAGGGACAGTAAAAAACAAGGACCAGGAGTTATTCTGGAGCTGGGATTTGTCAGAGTGCTGGCCCTAGCGCTTTGCAGCTCTGGCATTGCAGCAGGTGGTATCCAGACAGGAGCTCCATCCATCTTCTCACAGACCCACGCAAAAATAATGAAGCGTCCTATTGCATTTTATGGTGCACATTTCTCATGGTCTTTCATCTGACAGTTTCTCCTGTTTATATGAAGGTATACTGCTCCTGATAACAACAATAACAATAACAGTACTACTTACACTAATAATAATGAAAAAGCCTGAGTTATTGCATATGCATGACAGAACTTTTAATATCTCTGTGTGTCAGCAAGTGAGGGATGGGAACAGTGGGCAGCCCAGGATGGCTGTGCGTGTCTCTGGAGGGAGTGCAGGTTCTGGGCAACCCCTTGTGTGGTTAAGATGGTGGGATTAGAGAGGATTATACGTTATGTTTAGTTCCCCTCCATATTACCTGCTTTTCTGATGAGCCATTTTGTAATTTCAAGTGCCCCAGAGACATCAGCCCCACGAAAACCAAGATAGGTTTGATGTCTTATTGGGTACGGAGGGGTTGTTGGCCTTACTCTAGAGGGAGGGTGCTGGCAGTGTGGGGAGCTGGGGTGTGTGAAGGGGATGCAGAAAGGGATGTCTGACAGCAGGACAGGAGAGAAAGGCAAGTGGCTGTGCCCTGTGGGGGAGTGCCAGCAGGGTATTTATTACCTGCAGATGTCTTCAAGGCACAGGAGCTTATGGGTCCTCCAGCCATCCAAAAATAGATGTGAGAGGAGCACTTGGCAGCAGGAGGAACAGGGAAGGATGCTGCGTGGGAAGAGGAACCAGGGATGGGAGGGTCTGGGAAGCACTCATAATTGCCTTTTCTGATGAAGGCATGCTCCAAGAGGAGCCAGCTACCCCCTTGCTGAGAACAGGGGGACAGGGCCCAGAAGGGTCCAGCCCTTTGGGATCTGCTTTATGTTGGCCTTCTCCATCCCTCCTCCACATCCTAGCTCTTGCACGTGGGATGGGAATTGCTCTGTGCAGAGACATCTCCCTGCTTCCTGGTCTGGCATGTTTTTCCATTTAGATGTCAGCTTAGGAAAATACGAGTCTGTGCCAAAACCCATCTTGTTTTCTGGGATACTACTTAAGTCCATGCTTAACTTTGAACTGCAGGGAATTAAGGAGGATGGAAGCATGCTTTTGAAGTTAAGCACAGGTACAGAGATGGGCTGGAGGAGGAGGTCAGAGCACTCACTGTCCTGCAGCCCAGGTAAGGTGCTTCTGCAGCAGTTGAGCTGCTCCTGACTTTCCATATCCTTGAGGCAGAAGCCCAGCATGTTCCTACCGTGGTTAGATTAGTTTAATTAAGACATGCTTCCAAAGCATATAACTAGGTGGCTTAGCTACTGTTTGTCTGCTCTTGAACACATTATTACTGAACTCTCCTGGTTGTTACCTGCCTTTGTACCAGAGATTAGACAGTGTGTACACCAGTGATAGGATGCATTTGCTTAACCCATTTTCACACAGTGCCATTTGAGAAGTGAAATATTTCTTGCTGATGTCACATTGTCTTGTGGGATGTCACACCCTTATAACTTAGTGTTCTTCTTTTCTTTGGCACACAAGCAGTATTTTTAAAAAAAAATCCCCTTCACATGGTGCAGAGGCTCTTGAAGGGTATTTTTAACCTATTGCACTCAGCCATATTTGGTTTTCTTCTCAAAATACAAATTCTCTGACGTGCTGAAATATGCAGTGATGATTTTTCTTTTTGCCTTGGAAAAAGGAATCCAATATACTGTGAGCAACTCTGCATCCTTATCTAGGACTGAAATTGGACTTCATAGAAAATTCCCCTGCTTCTGCAGAACACCAGTTCTCTTCCCTTTTGGGATTTATTGCACCAAATAGCCATGCTCATTTCTGTTTCTCTGTTGAAGCTTGCTGGTCTGGGAAAGGAAAAAAAATGCAATTTTATAGTGCCGTTATCTCGGTTCCTGTAGATATTTTTAGTTGCTCTGCTCTTTGGTGTGGTGGGGCAGATTTTGTGCTGGGGGGTTCTGACCTCCACGAGAGGAGGGAAAAGTGTGAACCTCAGAGTCCCCTGTTCGGCCACAGCTCTGTGCTTTTCTGTTCCCCCAGCAGATGTTATAGGAAGGCACTGTACAAGCCTGTCTTCATTTCTCTGATCCAAACTGTGTTCCCTCATGCAAAACATAACCTCGAATCGAGTTTTCCTTTAATTGTATTCCTAGAACCAAGTTATGTCTGTAACTACATGCAGTTTTACACTTCCAGTGTGATTTGCAGCTGCCTTTCTGCTGTTTGCTCAGCAAGTGGTGAAAAAACTCCCGCTGATCACTTGTCCCCAGCTACTTAATGCTGCGAAAGAGGGTCCCTTCTACTCCTAAGATGACCTGGGGAGCAGGTCACTTTCCAGGAGCAGATATACCCCTGCTTCCCCACTCTCCCTCATCTGACTCCCACCACTCTCATGACAAATGAGCTGGGTTATGGAAACAGGAGCTGTGGGAAAAGATGTTCTGTCCTTATCTACCTCCTTTCGTGGCCCCTGGCAGGTCTAGGGAGAGCAAAAAAACCTTGGAAACAAATGCAGCCTGGTCTTGAGGTGACAGCAATGTGTTTGAATAGAATAATGATGAAAGTGGCAAGTCAGCCAAAGTTGTCATGTTTCAGAAAGAGGTTGTTCATTTAAGTGCTCGTGAGATTTGGGAACCCGATGTCCTAGGGAAAGTTAGTGGCCTCAGGGTTTCTCTGTCCTTCGGCGCTTTTGAAGTATCTCATTCCTCCTCGAGAATATTAATATCAGAGCTATGTAAAGCCAAGTCCTCAAAAAGGGAAATAAATGCAGAAAGAGCTATAAATAGGAAGATATTCCAGAACCAACATCTTCTTAAATAATTTTTCTCAGGGTAGACCCTTTTGAGGTAAAGTTGTATATTTAAAATGTAAAATATTCGCCTACTCTGCACCTAATCCAGGCTTTTTTCCCCCTTCTTCCATGAAAAGGGACTGCAGAAGGAAAGGCAAGCAAGAGACTTGCAGTGACCTTCAAGGTGTTCAGCTGCAGTTATTTTATTAGTTTTATCTCTGAACTAGGACTTGAAGCTATGGTTTTCATTTAAGTTTGGCATTTTTCTCTTGGTTCCCAAGTAATTTTTAGCATAGATGGAGCAAACTGTGTGCTGCATGCTTCATCTAAGGCTTGTGCAGCTCTCGCTGGGACACAGGGCTGCCCAGGCACTGAGGAGTGAAGGACCATGTCTCTGATAGTGCCCAAACTTTGCTCAAGGTGGGGCTGTGGCCCAGAGTCCCACCATTCACTTTGGGGGTGGTTTTCCCTGTTTTTGCTCAGTGTGCAGAACAGCTGGCACCCAAAGCTGTAGCGGTTTGATACTCCTAAAAGTGAAACAAAACAGTCTGATTTCTGACCTCACTCAAAGATAACCTTCACACTGGCTGCAAAGTCCCCCACTTTCAGTGCTGAGCACAAGGTGTGTGTTGCATGAGCAGGAGATGCTGGAGACTTCCTTGCACATCCCCTCTCCAGCCCTGGCATCTCAGGGTGGGGGCATCCCCTTTCTCTGTCCAGGTTCATTCTCCTATCCCTATGGCAAAGTGGCAGAGGAGCATACCCAGGCCGGCATTTCAGCCAGAGCAGGACATGGTCCTGTGCCAGGCTCATGCCCTCTTTTTGGGATTACATTGTGTGGTGAAGGATGGGAGGAGGGGAAAGAGGGCTTGCCAGGCGGGTGCACTGACCTCACAGGAGCCCCATAAATGAACGTGGCTCATAAATCTCACTCTTCAAATAATCCTGCTCTGGAGACAGGGTGTGAGACATCTTCATTTAGACCTACTTGAAAATTGCTGAGCTGGTTTGCTCTCCCATTCTTTCGTTTTGCTTGATCCCTTCTCTCTCTCTTTCTCTCTTTCTGTCAATACATATTCTCACATATAGATGCACATGCACACACATGCACTCCCCTGGCGTCTCTTTCTCTCTACCTGTTATTTTGGTGCCAGTGTACTGTAGCACTGATGTTTGTGTGCTTCCTCAGGCCGTTCATTGTGCTGCCTCCCCTGATGGAATGGATTCGGGTTGCCGTGGCTCACGCGGGGCACCGTCGCAGTTTCTCGGTGGACAGCGATGACGTACGGCAGGCAGCGAGGCTCCTGCTGCCGGGAGTTGACTGCGAACCTCGACAGTTAAAGTAAGTCCTCAAAACGCAAATCGGCTGCTTTGTGCAAAATGCGTCTCTCTTTGCTAGTGAACAGCGAGCGAGCAGGCGGGCAGAGGGCTCTGTCATTGCCTGGAGAGGCGCATGGATGCTCCGGCTCATCACTGTGCGTGTTGCAAAATCAGCTCCTGGTATTTGCTCACATCCGTGGATAAGCTGGTTGCATGGTAATGGGTGCCTGACTATCGCACAGCTGGATCGAGCCCGTAATCTGCTCATCAGAGCTCATATGGTGGTGGTTTTTTTTCCTCTTCCTATTAGGTTCTGTTTGCTAATGAGGGGCTGAAACCTTCTGCTAATTGTCTGCTTCACGTTTCTTTGCTATAAAGTACTGAAATGTAATTGGCAGGGCTGCAGATATTTTTCAGGGCTTTGTTTTCAGAATTAATGCTTAAAGGGCACATTTAAACTTATAGGTAAGACTACTTCTTGCAGTAAAATTGTATTTTTCATGCTAATGTCAGTTCAAATTAGTTGTAAATGTCAGCCTAGATAATTTGACTTTTTCACTTATCAGATGTGACCTTTTGTTTTTCTAATGGAGTCTTAAAGTATTTATTGCCAGGATATGTTTTAGTGTCTGTTTTGCCTTATTATTGTGTACTTGTATAAAAGTACAATCTAGGGCTGTTCTGGGGTCAAGAATATGTTTGGGTTTGATTTTTATATGAAAAGGCATTCTCAATCTGCCAAAGTAGAAATTGTTTACTGCTATTGCTTCACAAATTTGTACCCAAACCCCAATTTTCAGCAGTCTGCCTCTCCATACAGCAGTAGGTGCATTCTTTCCTGCAGCACAGAAAGCAGAGGGGTGATTTCCATGATTAGCTGTGACAACCTTCATCGGAGCAGCTGCCTTCTGTTGGCTCTGGCCTTGACCTGCTCTTTCACCAGAGAGTATAATACTTTTTTTCGAGATCTATGTAGGCTTTTTATAGTCTCAGCTATTCAATATGTAATTGAAGAAATATGTTGAATTTCAAAAGCCAAATCTTGAGCGTTTCAGATTTCAAACCTTGGCTGTAATTGCTTCCCTTTGGTGTGACCATCTCGGCCCTCATTTCCAGAAGTGCTGCATTCTGTGTCCCTACTGAAATGTCAGGACTTACAGCTATAGGTGCTACACACTGTTTGAAGACCTAGCAGTTGGTTCTGAAAAGGCATAATTAATTTAATACCTCTCCAAGTATTCAGGCAGGATTGCAAATAAGGCAATAATGTTTCTACCCTACATCCTCTGTCTTAAAAAGTAAGGTAGACACTGTTAAATATCTGAGGATTAAAAGAACCTGCAATATACCACTCCTGAAGTTGTATTTTGACTCTGTGTATATATATAAAATGCCAACAATTGTTAGATAATTTTCCAGGAGTTTCAAAATAATTTGAACTTGTAGAGTTTTATTGTACTGCAGAAGAATTTATTAATTATGGGGAACAAATCAGCATTTAGTTTCTAAGTTGCCAATAAGAATTCATTTTACAAAGAACACAAATGGCTGCTGCTGTCCTGCTTGTCTTGCAAGTGGGAATGAGCCTGAAGAATGCAGCCTGGGATTAATCAGGTGAGAATATAAGGAGAAATGATTCTTGAGATGAATTCTGGATTTTAATGAGACAAGCCTTTGCAGTGTGTCTGGTTTTGACTGCAGGGGCCCAATTCATCCATGGATGTCCCAAAATGGCAATCTCTCTACAGTGCTGACAGAGGTCTGCAAATGAGTGTTCATGTACTTCGGGTTTTATTTTAAGGTCTGTGCCTACTGCCAGTGTAGTGCAGCAGGTTCCAAAGAGCCTTGTAGCTGCAAGTAAGACCCTGGCTGTCTGTAATCCTGAGATCAAAGGAAGGACCAAACTTTTCTGAGGAATAATGCGAGGATGTTAATTTGAAACTTTGCAGCTTGTAATTTTTTATTTATATTCAGCAGACCCTCAGCACTCCTGCTTTTCATAAGCCAAACTTGAGTCCTTTATGCCTCCCCATTAGGAGGGCACCTTTTCAGCTCTCAACTCCTCAGCGAGCATCAGTTCCATAAATTCAAACACTGGAGGGAGGAATACAACTTTGCAGGGGATGGCTTTTAAAATAAGCTGTGTGACAGATGAAAGCTGGAGTATTTTAAATACAGTTAGTTTGCTAAATTTTGTTACTTTTATGGTAAGGGTTTAACAAGTAGAACCTTGAAACTGGTTCAATTTTGAGGCTTTTCATTCACGGTCTTCTTTAGTCCCTAAAACATAGGGACCTAAACCCAGAAGTTCCCATGGTCCCATGTGATACTGCATGGTTGTTGTGTTGATTCACAACCTGTCATTGCAAACACATAAAGCACAATCACCTTCCACGCTGGAAAAACATGCATATGGGGAGAGGGGGAGATTGGCAGGGTCTCAAAAGGCTGTGAAGTTCAGGATCAGTGTGGATAAAACCCAAACATTCAGCTTCTTATCTGAACTACAGCATGGAGGTCTCCCAGCAAATTCATGTGACACTTCCCAGCACAATCACATACTCCAGCAGTGAGGCTTTTTTTCTGCCTTTCGTTCCTCTGTTCCACCCTTTTTCTGATCCTTTTAAAAAATCCATTGCCTTAATTTCTTGCAATGTTTTCATCTCCTGAAAGAGGAGCTGCACTTGCTTTGGGCAGAGGAGTGAAGGAAGCTGGAATCAGTCAGGAGCTGCCTGTATCCTTCCTGACTCCTTTTCATTTTACAGCAGCAGATGGGCCAGAAAGTATTTTCCCTTTCTCTAGCTTTGGAAGATGAACAGGGATAGAAATGGTCACCTTCCCCCAGGAGAGAAAGCTTTAGACAGACCAGTTGTTTCCACCTTTTGCAAGGAGGTAGGTTGCACAGATGGATTGAGTGCTGGATGCACAACAGCTAGCTGAGATGGCACCCCAAGTTGTGTCTAGGATATTATCATACTGGGAGACCACACTTAAATAAAACCTTGCCTGTATCCAGGCCCTTTGGGCCACCTGGAGCAGCTGTGTGGAGTCAGTAGAGAACTGTGTGCAAGGTAGCTCTCTGCTGGTATGAATCTGGTGAAGGTGGGTGCTCTGCTCCCTGTTCTAGACCTTGAAGACATCAGGGATGAAGGTGATTTATTGTCAGAAAGGGGCACAGTGGTAAAAACTGTGTTGACCTGCCTTTCTACTGCAATAACGTAGCATCAGTGCTCAGTCTGCCCTGGAACTGCCTGGCTGCAAACAGATGCCTGGTTTTGGCTTCTCCTTATCATCATGTCTGCAAGGGGTACTTTTCCCCTTGCTTCAGCTAAACACAAGAAGCTCTTTGCTTCCTCCATTAAGTTTAAAACGAATAAAAGCCAATATGTTAGACATGGTGGGAAGGATTGCTGGTGCATGACTACATCTGGGACGGGAGGCTGACAGCAGAGGAGCAGAGAAAGGGAGGAGCATCCTGTATTGCTCAGCATGAAGTCTGTGCTTTTTGTCAGAGTCAGGGGCTTCATTTCTGGTGGCAACATCTCATGACAATCCTGGAGGATGTAAAGATGCTGGAACACCTGTGGGAGGTGAGCATCAGTGCCAACAGAGGCCATCACCCAAGAACTTAAGCTGAATACTTTGCCTCTGGTTTTGGGGAAGAAAATCCTGTTGGAAAAAATAAATAACAGCAACAAGGTCATGAAAATGGAAAAACAATCATCAAAAGGAGAGTAAATTATGCGGCTTAATGCATTCAAATCAGGATGAACAGATAACCTCTATCCCAACAAAGAGAAAAAGCTGTCTCAAAAAACAGGGGGTCAGAGGGAAATATTTTTAACAAAGCCTGGAGTGATGCCATAACTCTAAGGATTAATAATAGCAATAATGCCCAACATTTGAAAAGGATGAAAAATGATCCAAGGAAAATTCCAAGCTGTTAGTGCAAGGCCTTTGAATGTTTTTTCAAGCAAAGACTGATTAAAGACATGTTGTTGAGGGAAAAATGGGATAAAATGTGACACAGATTTTCTAAAGATAGATCTTGCCAGGCTAATCTAATAACTTTTTTTATAAGATAACTGATTTTCTACCCCAAGGAAATTCAGTAGATTTCATCTATTTGGACTTGAGTGAAGATTTGATACAGTTCATGCAGAGAGCTATTAAGATGGAGAAGATGGGGGTTAGTGAAGAAATTGGAAAGCAAGCAGGAACTGGCTTCAAGAGAAGTGGCAAGGGCTGGGTTGGCTGAAATGGGGTTGCAAGCAGGGACCTTTAGCTCTCACTTTTAAAAACTGGTATCTTTTAATTTTCAGAAAGGGTTTTGGCTCATACCATAGCAGTGTGCTCATGAAGCTAAAATTTGCTGATGCCATGATGCTGAGAGGCATTGTCCTGATGGAGGAAGTTTGGGAAATCGTCCAGGAAAAAGTGGATGACCTTGAGGGCTGGGACAAAATAAATGGGATGAAATGCAGTTTTCCGTAAATGGAAGGCAAACATGTGGAGATTAAATAGAAAAATACATACTGCAGTGTATATGTAAGATATGTGCTATATATGCAGAAGTAATATATAGTATATTGAGAGCAGAGTATTGGAAAGGTGGTGGGAAAGGCTTTAGAGCAGTATTTAATCTCAGAATGATTGTAAACCACAAAAGTGGATTTTTCCTCAGCCATGAAAGAAGCAAATGCATTTTGAGGCTGCATCGGGAGAGGTATTTCCAGTCGAAACAGGAAAATTTTGATGCCACATAAAAGTGGTGGGAAGTGATGTGGAATTACAAACCTTGTGTCCCAGTCAGGAAAATATTCACTTTGGACCAGGTAGAAGGAAATGGGCTGGGGTAATTTGATTTTTGACAAAATGTTCTCGTGAAGGCAGACTAGAAGAAAGGGGCTCAGTCAGCTGGGCGAAGTGGGTGTTGAGGGAACATGTGGCTCTTCTCCAGAAATACATCAGGAGTAAACACCATGGAAGGAAAAATACACTACTTAAAGGGCAGCATGGACA